ACGAACCATATTACTCACCTCTTATTGCCAAAAAGAATATTATTAAGATCTTCATCTTTCAGTTTTATCTGTTTAAAGAAGATATTCAATGAAGTAGTTGCAAAGTGAATCAAGTGATAAAAAAATACATTCCTTTTTAGATTTTCAAGAAGTAAGAATGTCTGAGCAGTTTTATATTCAGTTTATTTATTTACTGTACAACTCTGAAGAGTACCTTTCAGGTCTTTACATTATCTGATTTATATTCGCTTACTCCCAGAAATAACCTACATTTAACTTCTCCTTCATTTTGATATAACGCTAAAATCTCTTTACTGATTTACAAGGCAATGTGTGGTAGCCAGAAAAGAGATTTAAACCTTTAGAGTTAAAGTGTTCGAGCCAAAAATGTTTTGAGATAACAGAACGAATAGTTAGTCAGCTTGAAATAATTATGTTTATGTAAATAAAGACGTTATACTCGATGATTATTGTATTCCTTTTTGAATTCGAAGATACAGAGGAGAGTGAAAGTAAATTTGTAATTGTCAGAGTTGGAAACTTATCCATACCTACAGCAGATATCTTACTATGTTCAAATGCACAGGAATTGTGCTTACCACTGCATTTCTAGAAAACTCTATGAATATGGCTTTTAAATGGAAGTAAAGCTTGTGGATAGTCAGTGAGATGCTTTACAGATAGTTGTAAGGAATTCTTAGCCATAAATTATGGCGGATCGAGAAAAAAGGTAGCGAGTGCAGGATGGGTTGGTCCTGCTAGAACGATTAAAAAGCCTTTGGTTCAAAAAGGTATTTTAACTCGCCTAAGATGTTGTTTAGGAATGTTAAACGTTCACTCGTATTTGCATATCCAAAGCTTTTTAGCTTGTATCCCTCAAGTCATTGCAGACTAGCCGAAGAGTTCAGAATTCGGTTTTTGAACAGCGCACATATTTCTAATTTGTATTACAATACTTACAAAGCTAGTTTTCCTACAGCAACCCATCGATTGACTCCAAATCTACCGAGGAATTTATAGGTACTTTTACTCTTTCATTATAATTAATATATTTAAATTCCCGACTGTTGGTTGTAATATTAGCCACGAGCTTTAACCCCATGTATTGTGACGTTGATAGCTATGTCAACACTAATTAATCTGGATAAATGTTCTGTGCATTACAGAACTACGTTCCGTCAATCATGGACCGTTTTAATTTTCTCCTCGTGTGGGCGGGAAAGAAAACTGACATTCTCGCAAGCAAGGGTTCTTCTTAATCGAAGGTCATACAACCAAAACCAAAGTAGTCACTAAGGCCAGCCGGAACGAAAGAAACAGATTATACATGTAATGGAAACTCGCGTCAAACAATCGTCAAACTTCCCGAAGCGCGGGAAAACACGAGGCGTGTTTCATCTGATTGGTGTGAAAGGGTGCCCGTTGTTTTCTGGACCAATCACAAAGAGCGGTAAAGCAAATCCAAGTGTGAAGCAAATTTTGGTTTTTCAACATCATCAGATGAAAAATGCTTTTACAGTCTAAAACAGTGACAGTAGAATGATTTTTATTCAAACCTTCAAAAACTTTAAATCTGGGACGAAAATGCGAAAACGTCTACGTACACCAACCGCGTTTGTGGTCGTCGGTAAATGAGTTCAAATACCACGACCTGTTCGCAACTCAAAATTCGTGAGGACTTGCATTACTGTACTACATGGATAGTCTTGTAGCAAAAGCATGTAATTAGGGTATGCGATGTGAGGATAAGTAATTATTTTTCGTCGATTATTTGCCTGGGGGGGAGGGGCTAGAGGGTTTTTTCGGGGAGGGATTACATGGTTATTATGGGGGATGGAGGGGCGAATTAGCCGTCACCAACAGAGTATAAAGGGGGGGACTATAGAAAATTGACAGTCAGTGAGGGGGGGGTCATTAGAATACTGCAGAGTCTTGAGGGGAGTAGTTAATGGTATTATGCCACAACCAAATTTCTTCAGCCCCCCTCCCACCGAAAATAAATATAGACCGGTCCCTAATATACAGAGACAACGTTAATGTTTGGATATCCAGGTATAGTTTAAGTTCCATTTTCTTCACGAATTTAAAATGGAACTAATTAGACGTGTTCACCTTTGTTCCCTTTTGGTAAGAGTGATTGAATAATTTCATTTATGTCCAGATCGTTTTCGTAAATCAGAAGAATGTTTGTCTGTTACAGAACAACCGTTTATCAATCATGATATTAGTCCTGGGGTAGATACCTCATGGCTGAAGATGGGAGATGAAAAAGACTTCGGCCGATCACTTACCATCAGAACGTAAAGCCAGCGGTGTTTGTAAAGATAACAAACGCATGCGTATTAGCAAGCGTCGTTCACGCGCGCAACTTTAGTCTTCGGCGTCTGTAGTTACGAAGGTCGGTTACTTTTATTTTGAATATAATCGCCGAAATTCTACTTTTGCGAATTACAAATCAGGTATCGTCAGACTATCGCGAATTAAACCTGTTTGTGTGGTGAATTTAGAGGGAATTTTAAGGAGCTCCCTGAAGTCGAGACGAAGTTTTGAAGATCACGACTGCAACGTTTTGATTAAAGATTCGATCCAGATAATTTTGACGGAAAATTGGACGCTGTGCATCAATCGATGGAGCGATTTGGAGGGTCACTGCCCGTAAAAGGATACAGCGGTGAATTGGCTGGAAAAAAACGAGTTCAACTCCCAGCAGATCTTGGAAAAGGTAAGTTTTGTGTTTATGTTTAATTGTCAAACTCCAGGTGTCTCATTTGAATGCTTGAATTCATTTTGCGCGCTCAACTGGAGCGTTAAAATTTCCTTTCTAAATTTATGGATCGGCCCAGGAAAAAAAATTTTCAATAAGATTTGTTTTGTCCAGAAGAAAAGAGCGTTTGGGATTTGTATGTATGCGATCGTGCGTATATCTTTTATGAATGAATCGAACTGTTTGTTGACCACAGCCTACAAACGCTTGACAATATTCAATTAAAGTACAGAAAGTTTCCGCTAAGCCTAATTAATTGAAATGGAAAACAGTAATTTTGTAACATTATCTTGCACGCGCGAACGTTTATAATTCATATTACCTTCGAATTAAAAAAAGTTCTTTAAACTTAACTTGCCGCTCATTAGTTGGCGGTAATTTAATCTGATCTGGTAGAAGCTAGAATAGCAAAGTAACACACTTAATCCAATTAAGAAAATCATCCAAAGAGATTGTGACAGGTTACAAATCAGTTAACATATTTTCCATTCTCCCTTGTTCTCTCTAAATACCTATTACGTGTATAACGAATGATGCCTATACTATCAAAGATTCTAACCCGATACACTTGTTATCTGCACACAGGTTACACCTCTTATGACTCAAGTAATTTATTTCACAGCACCCCCAAAACAAAGGTAAGTGTTTCTTTCCCGGCAAAACGACAATAATGGCTAAGCAAGGCAAACTTTGGGTGTTTCTCTCTGATTTCTTGTATGGTTCACTTTTGCAGTTATTGCAATGCTTCTTTCTAAAACTGGTGTTTGACCACAAGTTTGAATTTCAGACCAGTGGTGCCCTTGTAGTATAGTGGTGCAGATAATTTGGTGCAAAAATTTGGCACCTTGGCTGCATTTAATTTCAAACAAAAAGAATGAAACCATTATATCCTTGCATTTGAATGTGAACCATAGAACCTGTCAATCCTATATATATTTCTTAAATTCAGTTTCAAAATTTCCCATTCTCAGCTGCTATACATTTTATCGTAAATTATTTTATATTATTATATAAAGAAATTTGATTATAGAGATTAATCACTTGACCACTTAACATACATCTGTACTAAATATATTAAATAAACTTTGTTTCTTTGATAGCTGATGGTATATGGACAAACTATATACATTTTAGAGTACAATTGTACTGATTGTAAAACTGTGTTATACATTTTTATAGTTATGTGACATTGAAATCCACATTGTTATCTTCAGCCCTTATCGTCGTCATATTCAACAACATCACCAAGTGGCTACAAGACCAGAACATCCAGTACAAGTTATCAGACAGGTGTAAGCCCATCTCGGTCACAGCGCAGTAAATCTCCAACCCGCAGCACAAGCCCTGTCCGCCGACCAGTGAGTCCAAATTTGCAAAGAGCCACAAGTCCAAGACTACACAACAGGTCTTTGTCTCCTAATAGTAAACAGGTCAGTAAAGCCAATGTGTCCCACAGTGAGTGTAGGTCTACAGTTGGTAAATGTGAGAAAACTTTGTATTGCAAACAGTGATGATAACAAACAATTCAATAGCCCATTTCAGAATTACCTTTTGCCTCCTTTTCAAAGGGAGTCCTGGTGCTCATCCTTTCATGTCAATAATAATACATTTTCATTCACACACAAATTAAACTCATTTTCAAAAGAATTGTTGAGACCAGGCCTCATTTTGAAGGTCAAGGGTAATTCAGAAATGGCCTATTTGATGTAATGTGCTGTTATCTGTAATAACATGTTAGGTGAAGACAAATTTGACTCTGTGTCCAAAAGTAGACATGTTAGTTGTTGATAAGGAGACTTATCAAGGACAGCATTTGCTAAATAAATGTAGACGATATGACAAGGAAACTTTTGAAGGAAGTCAGGAATTTTTGGGTGTGAATGAAATCCTACTCTTGCATTTTTCCTCTCACCAAAGTCATGAAAGGATTTTTTCCTTATTTATTTTATTTCTTGTTAAAATACAGTGAAAACATTCTCTGGCCAAAAGTTTTAGAAAAACATAAGCTTTCAGCTGTCAATCTACAGCCTTCCACAGATAAAACATGAAATGTGAATAAGTAAAATATATACAAAAAGCAAGGTAAAGGTGATAGAAGAACAATGTATGGAAAGGGTGGCTATTGTTTAAAAAGAATGCTATACTGATTAGGGATCGGCATAGAGTTATTGTCTGCATTCTTAATAACAGAGGTGTGTGAAGCCTCCGGAGTTTTTCTAATATGAAAAGAGCCTTTGTCGATAACTCGAGAATGATTGAAATCAATGCGATGATCAAATGACCATGGTTGCATGATGGGTAGCCCGTAGCGATGCAGAAGTGGCCATCAACACATCTGAAGTACAAGCTCAAGTATGGAAACACTTTGTGGATGACAGCTTTTGTATCATCAAAAGAGATGCAGTTAATTCCTTTCATACTTCACTTAACTCCATCCATCCACACATCTCTTTCACCATTGAAGAGGGATCTGACCAACAGATCGCCTCCTTGGACACTTTGGTTTCTCGCAATGATAACATGATCACTATTGATGTTTACTGCAAAGCAACTTATACTGACAGATATTTAGACTTTTTTTCTCACCACAACAAATGCCACAAGATTAAGTACAGCTGAGACCCTTCTACACCATGCAATTAAACTCCCAAGTACACCCCAAGGGAAAAATACTGAAATCAATCATGTCATTGATGCTCTATGAGCCAACAATTATTCCTCCTTTGTTATTTCCAATACCCTAAGGCGGAAACTTTCCAAACCACCCACACATACGCCTTTATCGTACAGCAGCCATCTTGGATTGAGGTCATGTACTTTTGTCACCAATGCGAGGCCACGCGTGTAAAGTTGAACTTTTGACCAAAGAGGATTCGGGACCATGCCGAACAGAGATCACTGTCGCGTGCCGCAATGTCAAAATAATCGCCCAAAACATATTCCAAATCTTACCTTTCACCAATTTCCGAGAGAAGATTCCCTTCGAAAGCAGTGGGTTGTCAAAATTGGGCGAGACGTGGGCAAAATCATCCTCTGCAATTGTTGTAGACTCCCCCGAGCCTGTGTACACACCAACCTTGAATTGCCATGACTACATTTTTTCTGGTGAGCCTGCCAAGACCACAGAGGAGCTGCTTGAAGCAGCTCATCGGAGAATTGAGGAGTTGGAGGCAGCAGTGGAGAAACAAACAATATATAAGCAACTAAAAATGTAACCTAACAGCAGCGTTAAGTTTTATACAGGGTTTCCTTCTTTCGATATTCTTGTTGCTACATTTAGAGCTCTGAGTCCCACCGCACAGAATATGTATTCTTGGTCCCAAATGCAGCGCCTTAGAAATAAAGGGATCACTGAAGTTGAGGGCATTAGGCAAACTATGCAAGGCTGCAAACTAAGTTTATTTGATCAGTTCTGTCTAGTTCTTCAAAAGTTGAGGGTTGGTACTTTAAGCCAAGTGTTAGGTGATAATTTCAATATTTCCCAAACAACTGTAAGCAGGGTTTTTATTTGTTGGATAAATTTTCTTCATTTCATGCTTGGGAGTATTTGTATATGGCCTTCCCGGGAAAAAATTCAGAAGCACATGCCCACTTGTTTCAAGTCTCTTTACCCAAAGTGCAGGGGTATCATTGATGCATCTGAGATAAAGGTCCAAGCACCATCAAGTTTAATGTTAAATAGTGCAATGTACACATCGTACAAAAGCCATACCACTATAAGGGAAATGTTGTTATTTCACCATCTGGGGAAATAATTGACATCACTTGTTTAATTGAGGGGTCAATATCAGATAAAGAGCTGGTGAAGCAATCTGGTCTTTTGCCATTGCTCCAGCCTGGGGATCAGATTATGG